GGTTGGTCCTTCCTAATAAGGCCTGTGAGCACTGCTGCTCTCTCAGAGAAGCTAGGAATAAACCGGCGGTACCAACCCACTAGACCCAAGAAGGACCTTACCTCCTTTTTGGTTCTTGGTCTCTCTGCTGTCTTAATAGCCTCTATTTTTCCAACCTGAGGCCGGATCACACCATGACCCAGGACAAACCCCAGGTACTGTGTCTCGGCCGTAGCCAAGCTGCACTTGTCTGGTCGAATGGTTAAGCCAGCAGCCTTTATCCTGGTCAACACCTCATGTAGATGACCCAAATGCTGCTCCCAGGACTGGCTGTATATTATGATGTCATCTAAATATGCAGTGGCAAACATCTCCGTTCCCTTGAGGACGTAGTCCATTAACCTTTGGAAACTTGCCGGAACCTCAAGCAGCTGCTCTCTCTCCCCCTCTGTAAGGTGGTTCAAGTCCAGCCCACTCCCCTCTCCTATGCCAGGGAAGAACTGCTCATCCACCTCCTCCTCTTCCTCAACTGCCCTCACCAGACAGGATTGCCCAGCAGGCAAGGCAGGCCCCCCCAACTCTTGTCGTGATGTTAGCTCTGGTCGGACATACCACCTTTTTAGCATATTTATGTGAAATGTCTGTAGAGGCTGCCTCCTCGCTGGCATGCAAACCTCGTATGTAACAGGCCCCATCTTCCGCTTGACCTTAAACGGGCCCTGCCACTTTGCCATCAACTTATTTTCCAATGTTGGCAACAGCAGCAGGACATCATCCGCAGGCTCGAAACCACGGGACCTTGCTGTCTGGTCATACCACCGCTTCTGCTTGTCCTGGGACCTGCGCAGATTCTCCCGGGCCAAGGCTGTGGTCTTCTCCAACTGCTGACGCATCTTCATGACATACGCCACCACATTCATTCCCTTTTGTCCGTCTTTAGCCTCCCAGCTCTCTCTCAGAATGTCCAGGGGCCCGCGTACTTGGTGGGCGTAGAGCAGCTCGAATGGAGAGAATCCAGTTGATGCTTGTGGCACTTCTCTGTATGCAAAGAGCAGGAATGGCAGCCACTTGTCCCAGTCTTTGCCTGTTTCAGAGACAAACTTGCGCAGCATAGACTTCAGGGTTTGATTAAAACGCTCAACTAAGCCATCTGTCTGCGGGTGGTATGGGGTGGTTCTCACACGCTTAATACCTAACAGTGTATAGACATGCTTAAGTGTGCGACTCATGAAATTTGGACCTTGGTCAGTTAGAACCTCTCTAGGTATACCATCCATCCATCCATTGTCCAACCCGCTTATCCTACTGGGTCGCGGGGGGTCCGGAGCCTATCCCGGAAGCAACGGGCACGAGGCAGGGAACAACCCTGGACGGGGGGCCAGCCCATCGCAGGGCACACTCACACACCAGTCACTCACACATGCACACCTAAGGGCAATTTAGCAATGCCAATTAGCCTCAGCATGTCTTTGGACTGTGGGGGGAAACCGGAGGACCCGGAGGAAACCCCACAACGACACGGGGAGAACATGCAAACTCCACACACATGAAACCCAGGCGGAGACTCAAACCCAGGTCCCAGAGGTGCGAGGCAACAGTGCTAACCACTGCACCACCATGCCGCCCCCCTCTCTAGGTATACCTACCTGGGAAAAGAACCTAAGGAGGACTGTGGCTATATGTTTAGCTTTAACATCTCTCATAGGATAGGCCTCAGGGTACCTAGTAGCATAGTCACATATCACCAAAATGAATCTGTTCCCTGACTGCCTCTTCTCCAGAGGTCCCACAATATCTACACCAATTCTCTCAAATGGAGTTTCTATGACTGGTAAGGGAATAAGGGGAACTGGTGCAGAGCCTCGGCCCGCAGTAAGCTGACATTCCTAACATGACCTGCAGTACTCTTTCACATCTTTATACATTTTTGGCCGGTAAAATCTTTTAGCAATACGTACTGTAACAGTGTTTTCAAAAAAGCGAGGTGCCCTGCCCAGGGGACAGAATGCCCCAAATGCAACACTTCCTGTCTGCATTTCTCCGGCAACAACAACTGGACACCATCCTGACTACTTCTATACAGCAGCTGATTTTCTACCACATATATTTCACCTGCCAAATTACACAAGCCCTTATCTCCCTCTGCTTTCTGAAAACATTCAGCTAGGGAAGGATCTTCTCTTTGCAATGTGGTCAGATTGAATGGAAAAGCTACCTCAGTATACAGTATGTTAAATCTGGGACTTCTGATGCTGACTATATATCTCACCATCTCCATTTCCTCCTCTCTACACTTTTGGCATCTCTCCTCTTTTGT